TTCCTTTTACTCCATGAATGAGTTTTATCAATATACTGAGAGTTAGAATATACTATTCCCTGCTACTAAGTACTGTTTTATTATCTAGGTTTTGTATATTGACTCACCCAATATTCTGGGTATTAAGTTTTAAAATTTTGTTGTAAATATGAATGAATGAATTTGACAAGGCAGCTCAACTTTTAACAATGATTACTTTTTAATTTTTAAATTATGTAAAAAAAAAAGATATATTAAACATTTCAAAATTCAAGTGTTATAATTTAATCTATTAAATGTGTCCTTAGATATTATTGCTTAAATATAAATAAGCTAAATTCTAACAGGCTGCTACCATGGAAATTGTAACAATAAAAACCGAATGCAACTATTCGAAGATGTGCAGTACACAACTGTATCTAATTTTATTATTTATCTGGTTTGATAGTGTTATATTTTATCTGGTTTGATAATGTGTGTTATATTTTAGTTATAGGTTAACCACATCAAGAGCGATTATTTATTGTTGACAAATGCTAATTCTTTAGGCATTTGGGCGAAAGGATTTCAAGAATGATGTATTTAATGATGTGACTTGTTCCAGTGTTACTGTTGTAGCAATTATGAATGCTAAATAAAAGGAATGCATGAATGAATGTACGGTTTTCTGTGCCGCTGAAAGTGTACTTGTATACGAAGGTGCGGGTGTAAAATAATGCCCTTACCGCCTTTGCTGACGACCTTCAGGTCATCGGTCTGGCCTTCATATCCAAATAATGCCCTGCAACAATAGTGTTATCGATCAAATGTCAGAGATAATTGTTGCATGTACTGTTATTCACATTAGATCTTAAATGTACTTCATACTTAAATAATATATGTCTTACCAATTTGTCATCGACTTGTCGTCGACTACATCTTTCCACGCAGCTTGTAGCATTTCTTTGTATTTCGTAAGATTTATTGCCATTTTCTTTTTAGCATGCTACACAATTATTCTGAGTGGTACTTTATTCAGTATCACCAGTACCTGACCGTATTAAGCCATTAGCCCTGCCAAAGCTATATTATTATGGAAAGTATTACAACGAATTATCTTAAACACCGGTTTCGCAGAATTTAATCCATCCAATGCTGCCAAATTGCGAGGCAAAATATCTCATATGTGTGAACAGGGAAATGTCCTATATCATTCTTCAAATAAAGTAGGCAAAAGAAGTGTCGGGGTACTACACTTAAGCACATAATGCATACCGATGTGCATACACTGTCTAAAAATATAAAGAGATCCTGTCTCCCTGCCGACTCAATAACTTTCGCATCGGTTGATCTACTGGGGCTATCGGCTTCCCTCTCCCATTTTGTACATTACACCGATCACAGCTGATGCAGCTGATCGCGTGCCCACACAGGGATCACGTTTTCGAATCCAACTTGGAGATATTGGCAGAGAAAAGACGTGACAGACGTAGCCTCAGTGACGGCACAAGTTACTTATGCTGCCATCTATTCGCCGCGATTACAGTATTGCTTCAAATTGGCTCCAACCACTGCCGAAAGCTGTCGGTAATAAGGTTTACAACAAATATATCAGCCTTCCTTCTTTACCTACGGTACTAGCCTATGCCTTCACTCCCCCATACGCATTTATGGCGTAATGCTTAACTGGTTAAGCACAGGAACTTTATCTTTTACTAGCCTATATGTGCCTACCACAGTACCAGCGCGGTCTGAGGTCTAAGGTATGAATGTATGAACAGTCTCGGCTCACTTGAATGCTGGGATCGTGGGTTCGAATCCCACTCAAGGCATGGATGTCTGTGTGTACGTTTATTCGGTGTTTGTGTTGTCCTGTTTGTAGGTAGTATCCCTGCGACAGGCTGATCACATGTCCAAGGAGTCCTACCGTCTGTGTATAAAAGATTACATTCATTCATTTATTTCATTTCCATAGATCTATACAGAAAACAAGTTCCATGAGATGTGGAAATAGTCAAGTTTGAATCTTAACATAGATACAATAAAAACATAGAAAACAAGTTATAGAAATAAATTCAAGAATACATAAATTAATATAATTACATTTCAAAATAACAATTAGTATATAGTAAGCAATCATATTTCTGCCAAGACCCTTTATATATATTGTTACGTTAATTGTAATAATAAGTGAACAATTAATAATTACTTTAGCAAAATAAAATCATCTATTAAAAAATTCATCAAGTGTGTAGAAGGAATTATTACTCAAAAAGTCCTTCAATTTGACTTTAAATTGATTAGGTATGGAAGCAATTTCTTTAAGATTATAAGGGAGTGCATTAAAGACCTTCACCGCCATGTGGGACACGCCCCTACCATATACAGCCAGATTCACCTGGTTCATATGTAGATCCATTCTCCGTCTAGTTAATAAATCATGATAGTCATTGTTTAGAGCAAACTTGTCTCTATTTTTAACAACGAACATCATCAGTAAGTATACATATTGAGCTCTTAAAGGGAGTATATTTAATTCCTTGAATCTATTTCTACATGATTGTTTATATCCACAACCAACCATTAATCGTATAGCTCTTTTTTGCATCCTAAAAACCTTTTCAGCAGAAGCTGAATTACCCCAGAATATCAAGCCATAGGACATGACAGAATGGAAATAAGAGTTATAAATATTACAAAACTGTAGAAGAGGCATGGGCCCTACGGAGGGCTGTAGAGCCATTGATGAAAGAATGAATAAATGAACTAGCCCCTGCGCACTAGGCCACCTGAATCCGCGGTTCACAGAACAGCAATAAATAATTTTGCTACCCTAATAGTTTGTACTACAGAGATTCTAACCTTATTTTAGAAGTGAGTTTAACTAACATAACTTCATTCTATCAGGAGAAATTTTCTTAGCAGTGCTTTTAAAGTGTGAACATTTCATTTACATCAATCCAACGTCCTCCTACTGGAACTTCTGTCAGATGCTTTACAGGATACAAGGAAAAGTCCATGTATGAACTTACATAAACTAGGCTCCATTATGGATCATTGCAGATGAAAATCAGGAGTAGCCGACAACTTGTCTTCTACTCTGAATTTGAAAGTAATCTATCTAATGGTTTAGGTTATCTTGTTGGTCACACACAGATGGACAGACATGACCTCCATATAAGGAATGTTTTTCTTTATTTATAAAGATCTTCTAAAAAGCCATGCTTAACCAGCATTTAACATAGAATTTAAACAAATTAAAATGAATGTACAGCAGTCCCTCAGAGACTATGGTTTTCCATTTGTGGCCAGGTTGCATTAGGTTTTGAATATCCACAGATCTGTGTAAATATGGACAAAGTAGGTGGACTCCTCACTAAGAGATATGTATTTTGTAGGGGTAGGGCTGTAACAGTAGTCCAATTTCCATAAATCTTGCCAGGCATGATGTCTTTCAGGATTATAAGATCCCTGCCAGTGAATGATTGTTATATAATAGATAAATACATATAACACAATTAAAAAGAAAAAAAGTGTACTGTGGGGTGGTTGCATATGCATAATACTCAGTCCTGCGTAAAGAAAATTCAGAAACTATGTGTAGTAAGACTATTTTATATCAAGGTTCAACTAAGGATTTAATGGCACATTGTTTTACAACATTATGTAAATACTACTATTCATGAAACATAGGTCATCATATCGTAAAGTGTGTTGCTGCTATAGTGAAAATTAAAATAAATTGATATGTACCATAATTTTGAAAAGAAGAAAATTATTAGAATGATTTCTAAATATTCTGTACTTACTTACATACAAACATCTTTATTCATCCCACAAAATTTACAATATATAACAAATAAGCTTATTTACAAAAAACTGTTTCTGATTTATAAATATTCCATGTCTCCCAGAATAAACATATATACATACAGATTTGTTTCATACATTAAATATGAGATCCAAATATTTCTTCACAAAAAGTAATATTTTTATGTACATTCATTCCTGTATCCTAACATTTCATAACAAAAATATTCACCTTTTCACAGAAGTTTGCTGTTTTCATAAAAGCAGATGTTTGACAGCACAGCATGATGGAAGTACCTGCAAATGTTGATTTGTCCTTGTAATATATGTAATCACCTTTATAAACATTGTGACATCTGTAGTGCAAGAGTCACCTTCCTGACACTTGTACCTTGTGTGATGTTCTTAAATAGAAGACATTAATAGCTCTTCTTTCTGATCTTCCTGATTACTAAGTTTCAGTGGCCCTTATCTGTTACAAGTATATGTAAAGAAACTTTCACTACAGAACTCGGCACAAACTATAACTTTTCATTTATTAACTACTGACCATAGTCAATGACTTTCCTAATCCTTGCGGAAAAGTTATATGGTGAGATGAATGCTCCAAAATTAAGCAACTTAGGGTTGCTACAGCAACAAATTGATGAGTATTAACAAGTTACATGAACAAAAGTTGTGTAGTATGCCACAAAAAAAAAAAACCAAGCAGAAAATTTGTTTCAGAGTATTGCGTCTATTCTCTGAGTACCAGCAATGTTTTGATATAAATATGTGAAGCATAGCATACAACTTGAATGACCCACTCAACAATTGACTATTTGTGTCTGTAATTTGTGGGAGATGACATTAAATGCTGGCCTCCAAGCATAATTTGATGACCCACAGAACCGAAAAGGAGTACAGGGGAAATGAAAGGAAGTTAATGATGAGACTTTCAGCTGAATTCCTAACCAGTATTACATGACAAAATTTACATGAATGTGAAATGTAAGTGCTAAACAAAGACTATGAGTAAGATTACTAAAGTCATGGAGATGAGCCCTTCCTGAGAAGCTGCAAGTTGTGCAACTACCCAAGAATTTCCAAACATTTTATGGAACCAGATTCATTACCATGTCCACAAGAGCCCTCCACTGTTCCCCATCCTGAACCAGATAAAACCAGTCCATACCACCCTATTGTATCCCTCTAAGATCCAATTTAATATAATCAACCCACCTACGCCTTAGTCTCTTTCCTTCTGACTTTCCCACCAAAATCCCACTTTGCTCCTGTGTATGCTACATGCCCTGCCCATTTCATCCTTCCTGACTTCATAATTCTAACTACACCTAGCAAAGTACACAAAGTTATGAAGCTCCTTCACCCTTCTTCAGTCCAAATGTTCTCTTCAGCATTCTGTTCTCAGACACCCTCACTTTATGTTCTTCCCTAATGCAAGAGACCAAGTTTCACACCCATAGAAAACCACAGGCAGACAAGAAGACAAGTGTTCTGAGCTGAATGGTAGAAAGTATCACCCAAATTTAATCTTCTCTTAATCTCTTCATTAATCAAATTTTCATTTTTTCCTGCCATTCCAAAATATTTTAACTGCACCATATTTTCAAAGTATCTGTTTCAAATGTTTATGTTATGATAATATCAATATGTACTTAGTTATCTTAGTGTTTACTTATAGTCAAACCTCCTTAGTAATGCCAATTTGAGCAATTTTGTTTTTCTTTTTGATATATATGTTATTTTGTAACAGATCCTACATATGCATCAAATGTGGCGGATTGCACAGTACAACCAGTTGCAGAAAGAGTAAGGACACACCAGCAACATACGCCCTATGTGGCGGAAGCCACATGGCAAACTACAAAGGATGTGAACATTATAAAAAATTCGTTAATAGGTATAACATAAACAAGACCAGTGTCATAAAACCCCTAACAACATATGAAACTCCTAGCATTCAACCAATCAACTTCCGTCAACAATACAGCAGTTATGCTAATGTAGTCAGCAATAAAATGAATGACAATGTAACACCACAAGAAACAAACAATGTGCTAACACAGTTCTTAAATGAGTTCAAGTCAATGTTCAATCAACTTATACCACAGAATAGCATGATCTTAAACATGCTAACACTCCTTAGTAAACTGATGAAATAGTGGCCAAGTTCATAAGAGTAGCATTATGGAACGCAAATGGAATGCAACAACATCAAGAGGAGATAAAAGTATTTCTGGCTCACAATCAAATAGATGTGCTACTAATAACTGAAATGCACTTCACAGAAAGAACATATCTTCGCATACCCAGCTATAAAATGTACTCTACAAACCACCCGGATGGCACAGCCCACGGAGGTACTGCAATTCTAATTAAACAAACACTTAAACACTATGAAATGCTAAAATATAAAAAAATATTTTCTTCAAGCCACATCAGTAAAGGTATCAACATTACCATATGAATTAACGATAACAGCGGTGTATTGTCCTCCTAAACACAACATAAAGCTAAACATTTCCAAAACTTTTTTCAAACCCTAGGACCAAAGTTTCTTGCTGGCGGCGATTACGACAGCAAAAATACCATATGGGGATCACGGCTAACAACAACAAAGGACAGAAAATTAGTCAAAACAATAGAAGAAAAAACTACTCATTTATATCATCAGGAACCCCCGCATACTGGCCAACGGATCCCAACAAAAAACCAGACCTGCTAGATTTTCTTGTCACTAACGGAATCAACACAATACACACAGACGTGGTATCAAACTACGACCTGATATCTAATCACTCCCGTCATAGTAACTATAGGCAGGACTACTGAACTGAAGAAACCCATACCGAAACTACATAATTTCAGAAAAAAAACTGGGAAGAATATCAAGAAATACTACATCAAGGCATTAATCTAAACATAAGACTAAAGGAACCAGGAGAAATAGAGACGGCTACAACAGCCTTCATAAAACTTCTACAAGAAGCTGCTCAAAAAGCAAAACCTCCCATCAAGCCAAGAACATATCTAAATGATGTACCGATAATTATCAAGAGACTAGTGGCTGCAAAAAGAAAAGCTCGAGTAATATGGCAATGCACCCATGCACCCGCAGATAAAAACAAATACAACCAGCTGAACCTCAAAATGAAGAACAAGCTCAAAAAAATAAAATACCAGAGCTTTGAAGAATATGTGACTAAACTAACTAGATATGACAATTCTGTTTGGAAACCGATCAGGAACCTCAAGAAACCCAAGAACAATGCACCACCAATACGTAAAAATAATGCAGAACCATAGGCCAAAAGCGACAAGGAGAAAGCTGACCTATTTGTGGAACATTTATCTACCGTGTTCAACCCGCTCAATGAAGAACTCGACCACCATATAGAATATCACCCAGCACCTCCTTCAAAAATACAGAACCCCCTCAAAATGACAACCACAAAAGAAATACTAGAAGTAATTAAATCACTCAGTCTGAAGAAAGCTCCAGGCACAGATCTCAGTACAGCAAAAATGCTGAAAGAATTGCCAAGAAAAGGTATAGTACTACTGACATATATCTACAATGCAATACTCCGAACAGGATACCGGCCGAAACCCTTAAAGATTGCAAACATAATAATGATAGGTAAACCTGGAAAGGACCTAACAGATGTAAAAAATTATCGCTCTATAAGTTTGTTACCAATCATGAAAAAACTACTGGGACAAATTATACTACGAAGAATCAACAAAGACCTACCGCCTAGCGAATGGATCCCAGATCACCAATTTGGATTCTGCCAAGCTCACTCTACCATACAACAGTGCCATAGGATCACATGGGAAATAAGCAAAGCCATAGAAAACAAAGAATACTGCTCTGCAGTTTTTCTTGATATCAGTGAAGCATTCGACAAAGTTTGGCACCAAGGATTGCAGCATAAAATTAAAAACCTTCTCCCAATATCATATTTTCGAATATTAAAGTCCTACCTACAAGAACGAGAATTCTACACTAAAGTAGGAGAAGAAACTTCCAGAAACTATACAATTACTTCAGGCGTACCACAGGGGAGTGTACTTGGACCAATTCTCTACATACTAAACACATTCGACCTACCAACATCGCAAAAAACTATAATGGGGACGTTCGCTGATGATACAGCTATACTTGCAAGTCACCAAGAAATTTCAACAGCAGCATCCTACATACAAGAACACCTCAGTCAACTTCAACAATGGATGCACAAATGGAGGGTTAAAGTAAATGAGGCTAAATCAACGCATGTAATATTTCGATTGAAGCATGGGGACAGTCCAACAGCGCGAATCAACAATATCGTAATACCACAAAAGAGCACAGCTAAGTACCTAGGGTTACACCTGGATAATAAACTAAACTGGAGAGAGCATATCCAAAAAAGAAAAACCAGCTAGTAATGTCCATGATATGTATGCCGCGTCTGTCTTGTAATGCACTCAATTTCACCTGTTATTTCACAACATGTTTCGGCAACATAGTGCCATCATCAGGTGCTCCATTTACGTTAATCTATTGCATTGCTTGCCATTATGCCATTGTAAAATTATTTAAAAAATATTTTAAAATATTCGTCAATTATAATAAATTTTTATACACTAAAATCTTGTTAAGATATTCATCTTATATGTCCCAATTCAAACCCGCGCATAGTTCCTCTACTATGGGAGTCAACATAATACTGCCAAGCGGTCCACAAGTTAATTACTTCCCTTCATTCCAATCGTTATCAGCCATCAGGCATTCTGATTCATTGGCAAAGGTGATATGCACCTCACAGCAAGCAACGTACCTCTTGCCATGAATAGGACAACAAATTTAAAAAGAACTCTCTCTAAAGGTAAAAAAAAAATGCCCATTCTGATAATTCAGTAACGACGTATGCAGTCGTAGAAACCACCTGATAATGATCTTCATAGATCAAAACATGCAGTTGGAAGAAAATAAAATAATCTGAATATTAAACAACTTAATATCTCTTTATAATCTTGCTGTTTTCACATTTGGACATTACCTTGCGAGATGCAGTATATCTTTTTCTGCTACTTCACCATTGTTTGTGCTGCATGTTTAATCACCACAGCCTTAAAGTATAAAGTACAATGATAGCGCCTGATACTTCCTCATACATTACTCTGTTTCACCCCAATACTTATTTTCCTGACATGAAATGCCTTTTCTTTTTTGTTGAATGATATTTGCGTGAGCACAGGATCCCATGACATTTTAAATCAGTGAAATATCACTTTTGTTTGGTAACTTTGAAGGTACTTAATGCAACCTTTTGGCTTCTGTCATTGAAACATTGCCTCTCTCACTTTCTTCTCTTACATAATATGAGAGTTGTCCTAGGTGCAATCAGTGCTATGAACATGCTAAATGCTTAAAAAGCGTTAAAACATTTTATACATAGTTCAAATTATTAATGATGACTTGTAAATTTGCAAGTCTAAAAATGAGAAACAAATTGTCTTTCATTCAGGTAAATACAGTCGCAGTCCCTTTTGATATAATCCCATGCTTAAAACAAAAGCAGTGACAAGGAAATTATAGAAGTCTGAGGATGAAAAATTAGGATTCAAATCGAGATCAAGAATCTTCTTAATTCATTCTAAAATATTTGACTCATAGACGCCTACAATGTTCTAACAGGTGTGAGAAGGCCTTGATGGTTGGTTGCTGCTGATATGAAGCTGGCATTGCACAACTGACCACACTGTGACTCAGACATGATTTTCTTTGAGTCTCATTATATACTGACACATGGAACAAACATTAAAATATTATAAAATATATATATCATGATTTTTATCACCTTTCTTTGAGTAATTTCGTAAATTCAACTCATAGATTACTGAAATCTGTAGGATACTTCTGCAGATGAAATATGTGGATGAAGGTGCAAGTAGATAGATGGACAAACATGTTCTCTACATTATGAGTTTACTTTAAGCAAAGAACACTTAAAACAATTAGTTAAGACATTAATTTTAAGACAACTTTTATGGGATGTATTGATGGCTGTACCAATTGGAATTATTCTGTGTACAGTAAGAATTATGAAACAGGAAACAAGAATGGAATAGAAAGCAACACAGCACATTTTAATTTGAAGTACTAATCCAATCAGTTGCTTGGAGACACTGAAGAATGCAATGGAAAATATCAGGAATGCTACTGACAGCCCAGCAGAAATTTCAGTCCCAGTTACTTGTAGCTTGCTGCTTCACACTTTCTTGGCTTATCCTTCAGCCCTGGATGTGGAGGCAGTACAGTCCCTCCATTCATCAATGACCTTCTGCCAGACTGCATGATGTCACATCCCAGAAGAGAGTGCTCTTTATATACACAGTCACTGGAACCTCAAATCTCATGCATGCAATATGTCCTATAGTTAACAAATTAACAAATAAGGAAACTTTTCCATGGCTGTTTATAGTCACTGAAGAAGAATGAGGCATGCCATTTCCAAAGCTGAGCAAGTCCAGTGTCTTAATGCACATTGATGTGTCTCATCTCAATGTGGGACCCTGGCATGCTGTACTCTGAGCGGCACCATCTGCTGTCAAGTCCCAGTGCAGCAGTCGCTTCAGAGGCCTGCAAAAAGTTATGCTTCCATGTTTACTTAAACTGTTTCCATCCACAATCAGCATCCAGCAGCAATTATAAATCACTAAGTATACAATTTTAGGATACAGTCTCTAGCCATCAACCAATGAACACTACACCTAGTAAACAAAGGAAGAAAAACAGCAACACCCCCATACCATGGATGTAGGCCGTGCCATAGCTCAAGCGGTCAGTCGCTGGCTTCCCACCGCGGTGGCCCAGGTTCCATCTCGGGTCTGGTCAAGTGGGATTTGTGGTGGACAAAGTGGCGCTGGGGCGGGTTTTATCCGAGTACTTCGGTTTCCCTTGCCAATCTTCATTCCACTAAATTCTCCATCATCATAATCACCCTGGGCAGGTTAAAATAGGCCAATCAGTGGCCGCCATGCCGAGTGGACCCAGTTGGACTCCACCCTCCACTAAGTGAATTTAAAAAAATGTAATACCATGGATGTAGTAATGAGGAAGTATGCTAATTTCACCCATTAAGTAATAGAAACTTGGATTTACACTCAACCGTAATTTGTAATAATTTTTACTTGAATACAAGATGCCAAAATATAAATGCTAACATTGCGCCAGCTCTGGAAAATACTAAGGAAACAGCTGATGATGGTCTCAGTATTAACTTAAACATGTTGAACTATAATAACGCTACTAAGTGAACATGAGAGTGCGAAACAAAACAGCTGGTGAACATTACAAAAATTAATGAGGAATGGATGATGATGATGATTATGACAATAATTATTGGGGATTCATGCCTCTACATACTTTCCATCACCTAAAAATGTAAGACATAGACTGAAAGATTAAAAGTGAAGCAACTTATTTGCCATATTTGTAATTATAACAGACATACATTTTTAGGTAAAAGTCTGTTGGTACATTTGTGGTGAATCTCTACATGAAATATCACATCTTTGGTGGCAATGGTTCATTAGTTATCACTCTTAAAGGAAACACTGAAACTACACTCTGAGAATGAAACTTATTCACTTCAACACTTGTGTGTTGTACATCAACTTTTATCAAAAGGGATAACGAAACTGAAGAGATGCGCATTCATGTGCACACATGCACACCCAAACACCTACCACACATAGACACAGACACGGACACACACACAATTTCTCTTATGTTCACAAGTGACTCTCAGAGTAACCTGCTAAATCAAAATAAATTAGCTGGACAAAATTTAATGCAGGCCCAGTGTACTGAATTTGTTCAAAATCAGCTACACAGGCAAAACTAAGAACTTGTTTCCTAGTTTATTTTCTGGTACAGATCTACAAACTGGTGAACATTTTAAATTATGGGTTTCATTATTATCTGCAAAGTCATTTTATACATTTGTTGAAAAGGTTACCCTGAATGAGGTTTCATAATCACTGTAGAGTTTAAGGAGATCTGTATTTCATCACATACAATTTTATTTTTTGTAATTGAGCTGCTTTGATGAAATAAATAAATAAATCATCATTTGCGATTCATATAAAATATGATACATATTAGATGAGACAAACCAAAATGTATTTCACATGGAAATTCATAGAACAAACACCCAAAATAACACCATCTGTAAACACATGTTAAAATGTTTTGTAAAAGAATAAGATGGTCACAGAGACAGTCTAACAAATGTACAGACATGAGCTACCATACTACATTCATTTCATGCACCTCCCACAGAACTCCTAAAAGATTTCAAAACTTCATGTTTCAGTGTTGTTCTCTGTGTCTTAAATCATTACATTTGTTATCACAATTGCCTACTGTTCGAAGCAGCCAGCATAATAAGGTACAGGTTACGAGCATACAATTTAGCTAAATTGATGATATAGCAGTCTACACATTTTTGGTTGCAATATTAATAATCGTCAATTAAAACTGCTTATTAGATTTTAATAGTTGAGAATCTACTGTGGTCTGAGCATATGAAAGTCTTTTGGATCTTACATTAGGGGCACTACTATAGCGAGATTCTGTGGTAGGACCCACAAAGGATGTAGAGAGACGTTTTCCACCCTGACGCAACTTCCTGCTGAGACAGCCACCAGCACCAGGAGGACCCATGCTAAGGGAAGAGCAGTCAGTGTTGGAGTAGCAGCGTCCAGGGCGCAGCGGTCTGCAGAAGAAACCTTGAAGACTGCCAGAATGCAGCCAATGGCGCTTCAACTCTGCTCGAACCTCACCATTCAGAAAGCAGTACAGGACTGCCACGAAGAAACCCTTCAAAGAGAATGGTTTTAACATGCATACTTGTGCCTGAATAAATAATATGTTATAAGCAGTCTTTGTACCATGCTAATATCATTACATTTTGCTTTAAGGTATTGTTCATAACGTATAGGCCATGGTTGAGTATATTTTTCCAGTCTGAATAAATGGGGTGTTTATAACGAAACGTATGGGATAATGGCTGCAAATAAATTCATAAGGAGAGACACATAAATCAGAAATTTCAGTACTGTGTGCATTCATATATATAATTCTGAGGAATATTTATACAGCTGAACAAAACTCACTGACATGTTAGTACACCTATAAATGTTGGTGTAGAATGCAAGATCAATGAGGTATTTCTCTATGTGCATTACATATTACTTCCAGTCTTGTAACAAACCAAAATTTCTTGCAAGCCACATCCAATAGCCAGTAAGTTCCAGAGCTGTTTCATTGCAGTAGTTCAATGAAATACTGCAGGGAAGTACACAATATCAACAGCCCTATGTTTAATGCAGAACACGGAGCTGTGGTTTAGGGAACAAATCTGATCTGTAAGACGTCTGTGACAGTATATACATTTATTACATAAATAAGATTCTGTGTGAAAAAACAAATAATTACTCATACATCAACAGCACAGTTGAAGTGTGCTTTCCTGTACACAAGATAAACAAGATCAGGAAAGAAGCTCTGATAGTACAGAGTACTCATTCCTGAAAGTTACCAGTTCTTGCACTGTCATTAGGGTTATACTTCTTACTCTCTATTTATAAGGATACCTATGTGACAAAATTCAACAGTTTAACTGCAGTAATTTATTATTATTATTATTCTCAAACTGAAAACAAATACAGATTTCATGTGGTTGCAGTGTGTTTCCTTGATTCTAGATATATACAGGATGTCCCAGGAGGAATGTGCCAAACTTCGGGAGGGTGTTCCTTATGTTAAAGTATGCCGATATAACCCAAAACACCTATGTCCAAAGTTGAACGGTTACGGAGATAATGGCCAGAGAAGTGTCAAACTTTGACCGGGGTTACACACTTGTTGATTACAAAATAGATATTAAAACTGGCAGGAATATGTGGATTCTGTAACGTTAATAATGTACGTAACATCAAACTAACTTGTGAGTGACATGAAGCCATAAAATTGAAGTACAAAAAACTCGCATGCCATCTCAAAGTTGTCGTTAAGAGTTCCAAGCACTGTACATGACACATGAATGGTAAACGATGACGTAACGTGCAGACTGCGCGTTCTGATAAAGCCAACTCCATAAGCACGGATAGGATGAATCACGGCAGTCAAGGACAAACAGAGATAATTCCTCTCAGCTGATAGGTATAATCCGTGGACCCGCTAGAAGACCACACTTTTCTCGGGCCATTATCTCCGTAACCGTTCAACTTTGGACATAGGTGTTTTGGGTTATATCGGCATACTTTAACATAAGGAACACCCTCCCGAAGTTTGGCACATTCCTCCTGGGACACCCTGTATATATATATATATATGATATTTAAAAAGTTGCATATTTGTAGAACCCCTTTACTGTAAAGTAAATCATGACTCTTAAATTAAATGTATGCTGTTTCTTTCCTAATGCATTTGCACAGCCAATATGTTGGTATGACGGATAGTATAGACTTAGAATGTAAAACTTTTGTGTAATCTGTAATGGCATTATGCTTATAACAAGTGTCAGTAAAGTTTACTGACTGCTCATAAAATTATTTTGGGAGGCACACACATAGTAACACAAAGTGATTCACTCAGAGGAGGTCCAGAATTGACACTTATAAACCATGAAAAACTAACTGATGAAAACGAAACTTGTCTACACTGTACACTTCAAAACTCTGACTTGGGGGCTTCCTGCACAGTTCAGACCACTGTGATCCATATGCTGTGTGGCAGAATAATGTGTATGAACATGAAATGCTGGTGATGTTGGTCTGCACCTCCATGCAGGGAAAACCCTATTTCAACACCTTCTGCACACCAGTTATCTTCACACCTACCAAGGCATGTATTTTCCAAGTTTCATTTTTATTACTAAATTATTATGTGATTAATATTTCTTAACCTTGGGCTTCCTCTGAGTTAATCATCCTGTACCATAGATAGTTTTTCCTTGATGTCTGAAAAGTTCGTGATATATCTACAGATATACTTATCAACAACTTCAGTCTTGAGGTCCATGCAATAGTTATCAGATATGTAAGAATTTATGTGAAGCAAGTCTAGTGACATGTTTGAGTGAGGTTATTGCTTTCTCTGACCTGGAAGGAGGCAAAGAGCTGGTCACAGAAGAGCCAGGCTATCTCAACACCTGCATGAACGCCCATACTGTAGCTCATACCCAGGAACACTGTATAATGTACTCCAAACAGAGGAACCAGTACTAGCGTAGACTTCGCCCACCGTCTGGAAGGGACACACTTGAGCGAAATAACATTCTTCATTTCATAATGGCAACCAAAGAGCTTAGATCTTCCTCTGTATATCTGCCTGCATGTTTCATCTCTGATGCAAAAAAACGTATTTTCAATAAATTTGACATAAAGTCCACACTGCACATCATTAGGTGAATTAGATTTTGATCTGCATTAATCAATATTAATTTTTACTTTGCTGCAAAGTCAACCATATTACAGTCTTCCTAGTACACAGTGTATTAAACTATGTTCCCCTCTGAATCTAATTAATTACCCATCATAGAGGAATGTGCTTGAAATGAAAACTGTAAATCTGAAAATAAAATATACATTTTGTCATGTGCGTAAATTTTTGGTACTAGGTTTACATATTTATTTAATTTTGGGGGGCAGGGGAGGTGTTTGTGCATGTGCGTGTGTGTGTATAAGCTTTATTTCAGTTTTGCATCAAGTAGGAGTTATGTAAGGATGTAGTAAAGAAAATTAGGTTAGCTGTATCTACAACCTTCAGTACAGACCACAAGCAGCAGACTTCACAGAAATTTGTTCAATAATTTCAGACATGAACCATGCAGATGGATATCACCTAACAGATATGCATTCATTTAATGCGCTTCTTATAGAGAAAGTACACAAAACATGACACAATTTAAAATATAAAATTTAAGTCTAACTATTATTTGATATATTTTTCCAGTTGGTATACATTTAATGCAACATGGTTCCACGTTATTTGGTAACCACTGACTGGCATCGTCTGCTATAGCATTTTCTGTACAATAATTAACATGAAAAGAAGTTGGATATCTTCTTATTACATCACTTTACATCTAAACTAGAACTGTAGATGAATATTTAAAGGTCGCAAGTTAGCACAAGTTGAAAGATTATAAGGTGTATCCTTGTTTGGAGTGCACATTACACTTAATTCAAAACTGATGACTGCTACTATATTCTGGGATATGACACCATGTACCATGGTATAAAATTACCACCGTTTTGAAGAAACTTGCTCCTTCAACCTTCAATACAGGAGCTGCATGGAAAATGGGGGTATAGTACCAGGAAAGTGTGCTTATTGTCTTGCACAATTTACTATTCCACACTGAAGATTGAGACAGTTGGTTCCTCCAAAACATTTGTAATTTCTATTAAACTACATGGCATCACATAGTAGAAGAAAGAAATCTTCATATTCATTGGCACAATAAACTCAGTCTAAAGAAACATGATGATAATGATGATGATGATGACGACGAGGACGATGATGATGATCATGATGAACTACTCACTGCAGAGACAGGACTAATCAACAGCGAGTATAAAATGTCCACAAATTTAAATTCCATGCAAGCAGATAAGCTGCACTACACAGAAGCATATACTATTATTCCCTAAAATACTCTAATCCAAAAAAGAAATGCATCATACAGAAATTATAGACCTTAACATGGTCTATGTGACTTCATGTTAAGATGTCCATGCATTGTCCTTGTATTGTAGATTACAGTGGATGACACATATCATTGCACAAATCTTCATGCAGACCGCTGAAACATGTCATCACATTGCATTGTCTGTCTAGGAAATGAAGCAATCACACAGGCAGATTGGTGCCCTCACCTGATGCAATCAGTACAAAAATAGAAGCATGTTTATTGATGTAACTGAATTGTGTCATTGAGCACTCACCTGTAGGTTCTGGTTTCATCACACACTGAGGCTCTGAGCTTGAGAAGCAGCACACGGACAATGTTCAAAAATAGCACGAAGTTCAGCTGCAACACAATTACAAATGTGCTGAAACTGGTTTCACTCTTGGTGGGATGAGACTGAATCCCTTGGTAATGGGGCCTGAAATGGACTTTTGTAATGGTCTACTGATAATGGAAAAGTACAGAGAACTGGTGGAATAACTGGCAGATGGAAACCAAAATGCTTGGAGAAAAAGCTGACCCATGTCATGTTGTCCACAATGAGTACCACATGGACTAGACTTGGTGGTGTTGATAAGCCAGCAATTATTCACCTCAGCCATAACATGGCCTATCATGACAAGAATTATATTGTCACATGATGGAGTGAATTGGGAATTGGATTAACTGAATGTTTACAGAGTGTACTTACAATTAACTATAGCATTATCATTCATTCATATACTCTGCAGTTCCTTACAATATGCACTATGTCCTCTCAGTCTGCTGTGTCTTCATCAATTGTCTGATAACAGCTTCTAATGCTGTAGGTCCCTCAGCTTCCACGTTTTATGGCATCACGTCTTGACTGGCTGTCGCCTATATCACTTCTAACTCGGTCAGTCAGTCAGTTGGTTGGTTGGTTGGTCAGTTTTCGTGCAGTAATGAGATAAATAAGGAAGAACCACTTGCTTCTTGTACTCACAAGTATGGAGAAAGTTGTGGGGCCACGGATCAGCAGGAAGAGCAGTTCATTGGAGTTGGTGGTCCAGCATAATGTGTCCTCTAACAGAGCACGACCTGCCACCCATGGCAACACAAACAGAGTCGGCAACCCTGAAACACGCTCACACATATTATGGTGTATAAGTGGGCATAATGTAATAAGTCACTTAAATATGTTTCTAAACTTAAATGCCTGTGAACAAGGACTCAAAACAACAAGTTTTCCAGATTAAATTAAATTTTCGTGTCTTGAATATTCCATAACATTAATAAAGTTGTTGATGAAAATGGAAAGAAAAACACAAGGTTAATTGTATTAAAGGTATCACTAGGAGTAACCTGCAGTCAGGAATAGCAGAAGTATGCAACATTAATTTTTAAAAGTCTCTGTCATTTTCACATTTACTATATGCAAACAACACTTAACTGAATCATGAAAGAAAAGTTAAATTTGAAGAGCCAATGAAGAGAGATAAAAGTTTTTTGTGGTTTGTGTTATGACACTGTTAGTATATTAGACTGAATAGCATTCAATGGTATGAGGACTGGTGACTAATGAATTGGAAAGTATTTGGAATAAATGACCATGGTTTAATTCAGGTAATGTCCTGGAATTTCCCTAGGAGTGTTGACGAAAACAAAAAAGAACCTCAGTTAGGACAGCAGGTGTCCTGGGCAACCCTAGCATCCTAGTTGCGCCAAGAAGGCTGCATGGCACTGGGATGGAAATTAGCCAGTATCATTAACGAACTCCCCGGAACACCGGATTGCATTCCGTTGCATTCCGGAGAGACCCGACCTCTTGTCAGACAGGGTGCCCCACAACAATAAGAACAAAACTTTCAAACAGTAATAAATATCTAGTCATAAGGACCAGATGGGGCTCGACACCAAGACTGTATGAGTGACTGACCGTCAGTTGCAGTGTGACTTTGATTTTGGAATAACCCTGCAAATCGTAGGAGGCAATGAAGAAGGAAGTCTCGAACCTGAGACAGTAAAATACAAGTATGGTCACGAGTCCAAAGGGACTCGGACCCAAAAATGACTGCACTGGCGAGAGCAAGCAGCAATTGTAAACGACAGACCCGTCCTCTTGTCAGAGAGAGTGCTCTACATCAACAAATCCACAAATGTATGACAGTAATAAAAATCTGGTCGTGAGCCTCAGATGGATGCTTTATTCCAAGACAGACTGGCTGGCTGACCGTCGGTCATAAGATAAGACTCAGACTCTGATTCAGGAGTAGAGATGCAGAATTCGACATACTAGAGAGCAGTCCCGAAATTCCTCAGAGAGATTCGTCAGATAGACATCGTTAAGCAGAACTTCAATGAGTGAGCTGTTATAATCAACTGTAATTGTAAAGAAGTGCCAATAAACACAATCATTAAATCTAGAACCTATTAAATATTATTCGTCACGCATCCTACACGTGACAATTTCTTCAAGGAAGACTATTCCGAAGATAAGTTGATACAGGATCCTTGAAGAACTAAGGTGATCTACAAGACCTGAGGTCCCTCAGGCTGGAAGGAGGTGCACTCATATACGTGTGCACTGACCAACAGTCTGGTCAATGGCTCATTAGGGCCACTGACAATCACAGCTTAGGATCAGGGACCAGGCTGAAGGCTGCGGATGCCAGAAACCTCCCAAAGCATGTCAAGTTGGGTCTCACGACAAAGAGCAAGGTTTCTGAAATTCTGATGATCTGCTGAAATGGATTAAGCACCTCAATCTCAGGGCTTCATGCTGGGCACTGCAAGTTGCCAGATAGGCTGTCCGAGCGGAAAGGTTAGAGGCTTGTCCTTCCTATAGACCAGGATTCCTTCAAAGCCATTAAGCAAACCAGCTATGTAATTTTCACAGGACTCACTTAGAAGACCGTTAAGGTCCTAAGCGAAACTGAAGCAACGCCCAAACTTGAAGAAGAGGATGTAATGATCCCGGCAACCTAAGAATGTGTCGTCGAGGGGGGGGGACTAGGATGGTTACTCTTTCCGAACTAAGATCACTGAATGGTAGAGGGCAATAGAGAGGATGGGGGCATGCCTCCAACTGTCAAATATGATCCGGTGATCCCAAAGGCCTTCCTTCAAGTAAAGCGAAATTGTAGGCAGAAAGGGATTGGGGGGGGGACAAGGCAAATAAAACAAGAAATGCGATCAAATTAACTTGCACCACAGTAAATTAGCTACAGGCGGTTTCGTATTGGCACCTTGCTGTGAGAATGGTAGATGTAGCGCTTGTACAAAACCCTTCGTTCTATGGGCATAAATAAAGACATTTAACCAGCTCAAGGAGAGCTATTTTTTCTGTTGCACTCGATGGTAATGTAAGGAGATGTGTTTATATCACGAACCATATTAATGCCCTGCTTTCATTATTCCGGGGACATGACAGGGGTAAGGATGACTCACATACGAGTAGTGAAGTGTGAGGAACTCATCGTCATGTCATCACACTATTCATATCAATAAGACAAACCACTGCCAACTAAGGAACTGAGGGACATCACCGAATACTGCTGCAGCAAGACAAAGTAACTCTTCATTGGATTTGAAGCAAATGCACACCACACATTACATGGGAGCTCTGGACCCTTCCCAGAGTACAAAGCCTTGTGGAATATCTTGCGAATTTGAACCTGAATATTCTTAAATAGGGTAACGAGCATAACTTTATTATTCTCGGTAGGAAAGAGGTTATTTATTTGACACTAAGGACCAATAAAATAGGAAACCAAGTACTTAATTGACACATATCTGAGGAGCCGTCTTTGTCAGACCACAGAAACATATGCTTTTAAATAGGTACCATAGCTATTGTAGCTAGGGCTAGCTACCTATAAATGTGGGTAAAGGGGTCTAGCTTCAGGTATTTTTAAAGCTGAAATTAGATAAGTTGAGCGGTCTGCTTCATGCTCCAGCAGCTTTAACTCCAGGAAAATCATCTTTGTTACACACTGGATATGAGGCTTGATGGGCTTCAGTTTGGACACAGTGTAAAAAGGAAAATCTTAACTTATTCAGTGATGAGAATCCTGAGTGTTAGCCTGCAGTTTCATCACTATACTCACTTCTGACAGCCCTAATCGACACAAAGTTTTCTTGTCTTATGTTGCATTCAACATGAAGATCGTACAGTACTGAAATGAAAGCGAGATCCAACTCCATATACTGACCATCTCTTTTACTGCGATGAACTACTTTCTAGCAAGTTTATATTTCAGGACTGTACACTGAGTGATGCTAATGTCTCTCTCTCCCTGAAGATCTGTATGCCAACTACTCTGCTATTACTGATGGTATAAAATTAAAAACCATGAAGCTGGAGTTGGGGAGGCCTCCATTGACATAAAATTCATATTAAATTTTGTGAATAATGGTAGAAGAAACACACAGATAAACCTTCCTTCTTAAGGTGTTCCCAGTAGCTCAGATTACCCAGAAAATCCTTGTCTTATATGAATTCTGAGGATCATTACAATGCTAACAAGAACCCATCACTGGTCTCAGACCTAAATACAATGTATCCGAAACACACTGACACACCATACTTCTTTAAGATCCACTTCATTATTATTCTAAGGCTTATACCAAGGTTCTCTAGGGGGTCTCCTACTTTTATGTTTTCTGACTAAAATATTATGTGCATTTCTTACAACTCACTTGTGTGCTACACGTCCTGTCCATTTTATGTTCATGAGTTGATCCTCCTAATATTACACTTTCAATAATAAAGTAATAATTACAAAACTCCTCATTACACAGATATTTTCAGCCTCTTCTTACTTCCCCTGTCATTTAGGCTGGTAGACATTTACAGACGTTTCAACAGCCTCTGCTGCTTGCTGCCTGCATGTTTGCTCATTCAACTTATTCTCTACCCTGAAGATGGAGGCAGTATTAGGCTACATAGCGTCACATTTCAGAAGAAACCACTCTTCAGTCACCACCACAACAATCTCAAATTTCACAACCTCCAATAAAATGTAGTTTTAGAAAGTTGTCAGTATGCAATCCAGCTCCCAAGTTGGAAATCTAATTGCTACTTACCCCAGCCAAGTACCACATAGAGAGTAATGGAGCTGGTATCAGAGAAGAGTGCCAGGAAGATGAGGTTGTGGAGGTAGAGACCCTCCATCAGGATCCACGAGTAGTTGGCCATGATGCAATATTGCCAGATACTGGTCACACTCTTGCACACCCAGTTGTTCTGCAACATGTCACAACATTCCACTTCCAAAATATCATCTCTTTTAGGAAATGAACTCTGAAACATGACTGCATTTATAAAAAGTGGGTGTTTAAGATTCTGTTTTGTCATGCTTTATATACTGAAACAAAATTTGCTAACTTAACAAGTTTTCTTCTGAAAATGAAATGCGGTTTGAACCAGTTGGTACAAGCTAAATAATTTTGGCATTTTCCATGCTTTATGATTCTCAAAAGCAAAGAGGACAGCAAACTGGTGAACTACAGACATGCGTGCTTTCAAGAAATCGTCTGTCATCTGTCACCAGGTGTTCAAAATATGTATAAACAGATTCTAAGCTCATTATCCATAAAACATACACAATTCTGTGTTTACTATTAGCTGTATGGTGTTGAAAGTATGTGCAATGGAAACACATGTTTGGTGGGAAAGTCAGAAGTAAAGACAATGCTAGAGAATCCTTGATGCAAGTGAGGGGATAACATAAAAATAGATCTTAGAGAAATGTGACGGGGTCAAATGGACTGAATTAGTCTGACTCTAGTGAACACAGTAATGAACCTTCAGGTACCATAAAATATTGAGAAATCCTTGAGTAGCTGGGTGAGTAGGACTTGATTCCATGGATTTAGTTGTAAGTGTAATATTAGCCACAGGGTGCTTAAAAATGAAAGCAAGTGAATATTATATTTTGTTAACTGTTCATCAAAGGGAAACATGGACAAAGTCTGGAATGTCTATTGTTATACAACCTGCGAGGACGCAAGCCTGGGAGCAGGGGTGTGTCCACAAGTGAAGATATAGCAGACTGAGAAGAACTAGTACATGCTGTAGTTAACTGCAGAGTGTGTGAATTAGTGAGGGCGCAACAGTTATTTGCAGTTACGATCTGAAAGTGTTCAATAAATCCAATTACCAATCCAAACCCCTTCTATAGTCACTCATACACGTGATAATATTATATAAAATTTTATACATAGGATGGTTATAAACCTGTTCATAACACACTTCTAGCGTGTGTCAGAGTGTGCCACATGTGCCTGAGAACAGAAGGCATGAAAACTGACCTCAAGTGTGCATCTTGTTAACTGTGTGCCTGGAAAACCACTGCACAAAGGGTTTGTTGTTCTGTATTGCCAGTGTGATGAGATTAATTCTGTAACGTCCTTTCAATGTTTTTATAAAAGTTGTATATTGCAAATTCTGATTAATCTTATGATCAGGAAGCTTTAGAACCAATCATGAAATATAATGATAATGGTCACCATATTTTATGTTTATAAGCTAAATAAATGAGAGGTCATATAAGTCACATTCAGCAAAAATGTTACTATTTTCTTATTGTAATTGAAGAGATAAAATATGCCTAATGTAGATCTGACACATTTTATATTAAATATCAACAAATACTTCAAAGATTGTATCTGACCTGGGAGATCTGCTTAAGCTCATGGGTTACCCACTCACCTGGTCATAGAAGTAGGATGAGCCATTTTTTTCTATGACGTCCATACGCAAACCAACACCGCCAACGAATAGGATGTCCTTGAGGAGCGCCATGAAGGCTCGCATTATAAAGGAGACAAACAGATGGAGGTGCAGCATGTTGCGGGGACATTGCAGCTTCCTGAAGAAGAGATCTTGTGCTATAGCATAGCGTTATGGTTTGCTATGACATTAATTTGTGTTACTACAATCTAGCAACAGCATCATTAGCTAGCACTGTGTCATGTACTGCTGACTTTTATTTGCCACCAGAAACTGGCGAAAATGTCATCACTTAGAACAGCTGATGTTCTGCCGTGATTTCTGTTTATGTTCACAAATTTGTGGATATTCGCCAAGTATTCAATTGCAAAACACACCATCTTGTGAACTTTCAACTCCTTGTCTTAGACACTGCAAAGTTGACAGTTTTACAAACTGTGCTGTGACTGCCTTGAATTGTATGGAATCAATCAGTCAGTATGTAACTGAATAACATAACTGAATTTCAAGAGAGGTCTCACACATTTCATTCTGTTCTACTTTATTCACATTTCATTCTGTTCTACTTTATTCACCAGTTCATCAGAACAGGCTTACAGGACTCCAGACTAAAATTGAAAACTGAAGTTCTACCTCGTTTTCTGTACATGTTTCCATCTGTAGTAGGGCAATCAAATTAAGGAGGTTCACTATTCAGATATGCTGCACTTAAGTAGGAGATGAGGCATGAGCACAAAACTTCAGTTAAGACAACGTGAAGGTAGAGACCTGTATTCATTCATTCATCAGTAATCTGTCAGATGACAGGTCCACAGCCTCTTCCAAAACAGTTTCTCCACTTAATGCGATCTTCTGTTTTTGGAAAGAGACTATCCAGGAATAGTGATAATGTGGTAGTTTTTCCATTTGCTTTCCACATCAGAGAAAATAAAAGAAAAAAAAAATGGATTTTAAATAAGGTGTGATGGTGTGGACACGGTAGAACGTGAACAGGTCCTGGTTCATTGTGGTCTCTTGGGAGTAGGTTAAGGAGATCCTGGGGCCTGTGAAAAGTGAAGAAGCTATTAACAAGCTGAAGGAGTAGGCCTGTACTTTCTTAAGAAGTTCCCTGTTCCATGGAATTAATTACAAGGGTTGGATAAAAAGTAGTGGCAACACTGCTGGGACATGAAAGATGTGCGTCAGGTGGCACTAGCGCCATCTGTAGCTGATAGCAAAAGTTCAGTTGAAGTAGTGCAGTGAGTGGCTCTGGTTGTGTTTCATTGAGTTGCACTGTGCATCGTCTTGAAGTGCAGGAGCCCAGTTCAAGCGCCCAAAGAACATGTTTACAAAATAAGAACAACGCTCCTGAATAAAAATTGAAGTTGCACGAGGTCGTAGTACACAAAACTGTTATCAGGGATTGTGAAAAGCATGTGGTGATGCTGCTTTGCCATATCACACAGTGGCACGATAGGTGAAATTGTTCCGTGAAGGGAGGGATGCCATTCAGGATGACCCCATGTTGACAACCACACAATTCAGCTTCTTGCTTCTTTGCTGGATGTTGATTGTCGATGGGCTGCGTGGGAGTTAGTTGCTGAGGTAGGCGTATGTCACAAAACCGTGCTACACATTCTGCGCAATATTCTTGGATACCGCAAAATTGCAGCACGTTGGGTACCCCATACAATGTCCGAGGTGCAACAATGGCAATGTTATGCAATTGCACAGGGCTTGTTGGACCAGTACCAGAAGGAAGGGTCGTCACTCTGGACGAAACTTAGGCTTGCTCATAAGAACCACACTTGAAGCAACAATCAAATGAATGGAAGCATCCTGGCTCTCCTCGTCCAAAGAAAGTGCGCCCTACACAGAGTAATGTGAAGGCAATATTCATTGTGGCATATGACATTGATAGAGTGATACTGCACCACACTGTACCTCAGTGACAGATAATAAACGCCACCTACTACTGCAATTTCCTGTGTAATCATCTTTGTCCAGCACTCGGGAGAAAGCGACGACACTTGTTGGCAACGAACCCAATCATCCTTCATGACAATGCAAGGGCTCATACTGCTGATGCTGTCAAGGATCTCCTTCACCGCTGGCGATGGGAGATACTGCAACATCCTCCATACTCACCCAATATGAGTCCGTGTGATTATGATCTCTTTGCCAAAATGAAAGAACCACTGCGAGGGTTACGTTACAACAAAATATAGGAGATTATTCATGCTGTAGGGCAGTCACTGCTGGACATCAACAGAAGTGGACGCACTGATGGTGTACAACGCCTTCCACAAATTTGGCAGAAGGTGGTACATATGGGGGCGATTACATTGAAGGAATGTAAGTGTGTTTACCTCAGGTAATAAAGTAATTTCAGAACTATAGAGGCGTTGCCACTGCTTTTTATCCAACCTATGTATAATAAAACCAAAGGGTTCAATGGATAAACATACAAATCAGTGATAAATTTCTCTGCTTAATATCAATGTGGCATCTGCTGTATGTAAAGTTACTAGACACAATCTCCGAACTTATTCAGTGACCACGTTTGTAGGAACGTGCAGCCTTGTAGGTACCTTTATGATCTCCACACCACACTGCAAGCTACTAGCTAATAAGGGCACTTAAAAAGTCATTGTCATCATATGTAAAACAAAACATACTGTCACGTATTTACTCAAAGCAAGAACTGTGCACGCAGAGAAACAGCTATTGCTATGTAATGCCCGCACGCAACAATTTAGAGGAGGTGTCACAATAACCCCCCCGTTGGTGTATCCACCTTATCCTGGTGAGGGGGTTTGAGTATGCCAAGGACCCTGAGAGCTATACCAGCGGTAGCATAGCTACTGGCAGGGCCTCCCTTGCTGGACAGGTCAAAGGGTAGGCATCAGATGAAGAGACACACCAAAAACCAATAACTGTTGCCGGAAGCAGCGTCATCAGCAGCAACTTGAAACACAGAGAAAATGATGCTCAACATGGTTCAAGTTTGTATAGCAACAGGCGTGACCAGAGTGGTTTGAACGGCTGTTGTACTGCCATGTGGAAAGCAAATGGAAAAACTACCACATTATCACTTTTCCTGGATAGTCTCTTTCCAAAAGCAGAAGATCGCATTAAGTGGAGGAACTGTTTTGAAAGAGAATGTGGACCTGTCGTCTGACAGATTACTGATGAATGAATGAATGAATGTCACAATAAGTGTCGCGTGCAGTCGTTGCTATGGAACGATTGGGTAAGCACGTGAGCGGTGACGTCACGTAACAATAGAAGAGGTGTTGCAAGCGGTGTATTCTGTGGGTTCGCTCCGAGGCCATATTACTCGACAGACCCAGTTCAGTTCAGCGAGTGAGTGCAGTGCAATGAGGCCGTTCAGTTGAGGAGTTGAGAGTGTTAACCAGCAGGCAACGGAAGCTGAAGATTTGTTACCAGGAAACGTCTAGTGAAGGCATTGCAGAAGAACGTCATTGTGAAGAGCTGTTACCAAGTAGAGACTAGTAAATATAGACAAGAAGACCTAGTGTGGAGCGATTTGTAGTGTGGAAATCCGCAATAGTGTCATAGTTATTTGTAGTTACGACCTGTAAGTGATCAACAAATCTATTCACAAATCCAAACCCCGTCTACAGTCACTGCACGTGAAAATACATTCATCGAGGTGGACATACGCTCCAGGTATCCTCATTCCCAGCCACCTTACATTCCATCGAGCGCATGGGAACCCAGGGTTTAGTCTCGAGTTCATGATGACGAAGAAGGAGCACCGAGAACTGAGCATTTCGTCGCCTTTTAATGATTTAATGAGGGGAAAACGAAGCCTGTTTTTAATTATACCGGATATCATACCGCAAGTTCTTGATACTTCCGGTTTTGTCTACTAATCCTACAAGAACGAGAGTGTGGTGCTCCAGATACAGTTTCTGCAGCGAACGAATTAGCAGTGATTTTAGAGCAATTAAATTTCCTTATAATGTCATATTTAGTTGGTCACTGGCCTCCATCCAATGCCGAGGTTGAGTGTTGTAATGATCAGTGAATTCCATTCTGTCATTCATGCAACTTCAATGACACAATATTCACCTCACCTGTGCAATGCTAAACAAATCCTGCTTGTGACTGGCAGATACTGATGTCGTTCGAAGCTGACATTACTGGCTGGATGTCGATAACGTCATGACTGTTTGTACAAAATTACAAATATAAAACTTTGGGTCTGGATGGAACAATATAGGCACAATTTGGTATAACGACAGTCAACTTTGATAAGAGCAGAGCTGCAAAATGGCCAAACATGGTAACAATATTCATCCTCATCCGTAAGAATTGTAACTCCACAGATTAAATGTTCTCCAAGTTTCAGTTCAGGTTCTTTAGTCTGTGAGATCAAATTCAGAACTTAAAAATGTCTGAGAAGCAGAGTGTTTCTCGCTTAGCTGTATCGGCCAGTAACAATGAAAAGAGAGCTCAAGATTATATCATGTGCCGCTCTAATCAAAATAGTGCACAGTACAAGTAAATGTGGATTAGGATAAGTTCTGCGCCACTTTAATCAATTATCTGTGCATTTTTTGATGAGTTTCCCCACACTTTCACTTCACCTTATTTATCACTTTCCTAACCCATTTCATAAATTTACTTGGTTTGAGGGGCTATGCTACAAGCCGGAAGGTCGCGGGTTCAAGTCCCGGTGAGGTCACTGGATTTTTTTTCAATTGACCTAATCCTTCCAGCCGCACTATGGCCCTGGGGTTGACTCAGCCTCTAACAGAAATGAGTACCAGGAATTAATTAAATAATTTTCCTGGGGAGTAAAGCGGGGCCGGCCCGTAAGGCTGACAATCTTACCGCCATCTGTGAGCCGATTGTCTAGATAACGTGGGACCCTCAACGTCTCACAACCCTATGGGCCTTCACGGCCTGTTACAGGGATAGCTTTACTTTTACTTACTTACAGGACAGAGTCCCTAAAGCATCTACAAGAAGTTGGTTCCACAGCTGGATGGTCCTGCTTACAAAGGAATATTTTACGATATGTCTTTTGGTTTCTGCTCCTAATTTTCCTATCATGATCAACCCTGCTCAGACAGCATGGTCTTTGTGTAATTAATTTCAAGCCCGTTCCCACATGTGCACTTTGAAGGG